GTTTTTCATATTTTTTTTCAGCCACATCTGTACTTCTAGATAAAACAGGACCAGAGACTGTCATTTCTTGGTACCAGGTTTTATTGTGAGTTGGTTAATGCAGGGTGGGGGTTGAGTTCTTCTTCCGCTTTTTGCACATCTCTTACATTTTTTGCATTTTCCTGGAAGTATTTTTAAACAGGAAGTTTCAGCAGGCTGTTTTCTTCTTCATTACAACATGTTTGTGTGATAATCAGTAGCTTTTAACTGGAGTTCATCAGATTGCCAAAATCGTATAGATTTCTCTCCTGTCACGTGGGCTGTGGTCCCAGATTCCCCTTACTCAGGTAACTTTAATACCCACTTTGGGGGGAAAAAAAAAAAAAAAGGATTCTGCCCTTTTCCTTGCCCTGGCTGTTGGTTCCTGGCCTTCTGCCATCTGCATCCCTCTGCCTATGCAAACATAGTGATCCAGTTCAGAGAGTGAGAGATGCCAAAAGTAAACCACTCAAAGGGAAAAGGTGCTCACTAACCTGGATCAGGTCTTTGCTCTGCCTCATTGCGTGTGTTAGTGCAACGACTGAAGCAGGTTCAGGACAAGGACCAAGTGGTCAGCAGTGCAAGGGAGTGCAGGCTGCTTCTCTTGGAGGCACTGCTGGCTAAGGGCAGCTTTAAGGTAGATCTGCAAAGGGTGACTTTAATTCATCAAATTGCAAATTACTCTCCAGAGCGGGTCTTCCATTCACATTCCCTGTTTTTTGCATCACTGTAGGGAGATGTGAAACACACACCCAGGGAATTCTGCCCCCATCGTGTTGTCTTAGATGCCACCTGAAATATGTTTATGCTTTAATGTTAATGTTATTAGAAAAGTAATGCTTGAGCTTCTCCAGCATTTTAATTTAGTAACATGGAGAACACGTTCTTGAGCTGATACATAAAATCCAGAATAAAGATGGAGAATCTGACTGCTGGCACTTCTGGCAGGTCTTGCACAAAGCAGAATGCCTTTCCCGAATAGTTTCTCTTCAAAGTTGATGATTAAGCAGCTCTGTCTTGCAGCCCCTGCCGTTCTGTCAACAGCCTTTTCTCGCGGCGCGGCGCTGGCATTGCCCGCCCGGCACAATGCCGGCTCTGTGCCCAGCAAGTTCCCACAGGTACGGGTTTAACTCGCCCCACAGGAGCAGCCCGGAAGGCTGCTCTCCCCGGACAATAACAAGGCCCTTATTGTGTAAATGGCTGTTTATATAAAAATAGATTGTTCTTATCGGGACTGGGAGCCGGTGACCCGTGAATCTGAAACCTTGTGCAGGGATCTGGCCCCACTGGCCTTGGACGAGACATTTCGTGTGCGTGCTCCAACTGTGTGTGACGGAGAGGGAACTATTGAGGAGGTGATTAACTATTTTGATTAGCCTGGCGTAGGTGTTCATGTGAGACTGCAGCCCACCTTCACATGGTAACAAAAATGAAACCTCTCTGAGGTCAAGGAAGGAAGTATGCAATCCTTAAATGCGCTTTATGGCAATTTCTTTATGAAAATTCAGTTTATCCATATGTTAAACTATCCCATTACAAGGGAGTGTTTGATAACAGCTGCAGTGTTCGGTGCGGAGGTGGCCGTGGGATCACGGGGGAGCCTCCTTGCTGCTGCCTCCCTTCTACTGAGAAAAGGTCTGGGAAAGGCTCCAGGGAAGCAGGATCTCTGTGCACTTTGCTGTTAGCTTTGGTTGGCTTTTAGGACACATCACTCTTGGGCTTGATCCATGGAAACTGGGCAAACACATCTGTGTTCATGATATTTGCCAAAGCTGGTATAGAGTACCATAAGGAGGGGGCTTTATATGAGGCAGATGTTTTTATGTAGGTTTTTGTGTCTGTGTGTTTAGTTTTGCTCTTTATTTATAATGAGGCAACAAGAGAGTTCATTACTTTTCAGGGTAAATAAAATAACACATAGCCTTCACTAAGTTGAAAAATTTAATTATTTTTGTTTATATTATTTTTGTAGTCTATTTGTGTCTTATTAACATCTGTTTATGATACCCTTCCAGTATGGGTCCGCTTCAAAGACACTTTTATCCCTCTGAAAATAGATAGTGATGTATCATTATGATCCTATAAAATACAGGCAACTGTGGGAAGTTAAGTTTCATTATGTATTTAACAAAGTTAAACAAGGAATACCAGACAGTCATATTATCAAAAACGAATTCCTGTTTCAGCCGTATAACATCCTATAGAATCAACAAATTCTGTCCTTCTGGCTAGGAGTTAGGAGCCTATGGTGCTGTATTTTCTTCTGCCAGTTATCATCTGTAGGAGTGATGGTTATTCAGGCAACCTGCTTTCATTTTCATCAATTAATATTGATTATGGAACAGTCTTTGGAATATAACTGGAACAAACCTAGAACATACAGTTAAAATACAACTTCTCTTTGGGAGCTATAATATCAAACATCTCCTGTTAACAAATGGAGGCATCTGCCGTTCCCATGCAGCTTAATAGCCAAACAACAAAATAGTCCTAAAGTCTCTGCAGCCTGAGGGGGTAAACTTGACCTGTACTCCCTGCTAGGATCCTCTGCACACTAGGATGGATGCTGCTTTATTTTCCCCAGTGGTTATCTTGCTCAAAAAAATAAAGAAAAAAGAAACAGGCAAAAAAATACCCTTAAGTCTACTTAAATTTATCTATTTCTGAGATAGCAGTAGTGGAGCACAGTTGTGTGTTTTTGTTGCTATTGTATTGTAGGTACAGTCTTTCATTATCTTTTCTGCAGTTATTTGTCCATTTTGCTGTCTGTATTCCAGACAACTTGGTGGTGTCGCCTTGTTGAACTTCCCCAGGGGATTTTTGTCCCACCGTTTATAAAACTTAGGTGCTTGATACCTGGACATCATTCACTTTGTTATCCACAGTGAGATATTTTAAGATTTAAAATTTTTGCTAGAAAATCTACATTCCAAATCTTGGGATTTTTTTTCCTAATTCGACTCTTCATTTGTAAATGCTGTAATTGCAGTTGGCTGCTCTCTGTTAGAGGATTTAGATCCATTGCCCTGGAACTGCTCTCTCAGATGGCTTCAGGGAGAGGCAAAGTGTGTGATGTTCTTAATGTCCTTTTCTTTGCGTCCACTGGCCAGTACCTTCTTTGCTCTTAAATACTGTGTATTGACCTACAACGTCTGGGCTTCATGTTTTAGCATTAGTAGATAAATTAGGAAGCTGTGGAAATGTTTATGCTTTTTATTGACTTCAGGTGCTTCAGGGAGCTGCATTAATCTCCAGTTCAGCGAAGCAGTAAGAAAATGAAATACTCCCTCAAGAGTTTTCTTTTGTAAATAAAGTCTTGCATTAGGCTGCTGTGAACTGGCATGCTCTCCCATTTTTGAATGCACTGGTTTGGTCTTCATTAGTAGTTATAGCTGAGGGTAATAGCACTAAAGCCTGAGGTTGGATAACAACGGGAATTGTCCTTTGTCAGAAGTAACAGTAAGATTTGATGATGGGAAATGCTTGCCTTTGACCTCCTCCCATTGGAAACTACTGTCTGTCCTCTGGTGCAAAAGCTGGCTGCAACACATATCCCCCTTAAAATACTGAATTACAATTAGAATCTTTTATGCCTGTTTTTATAACCATTTTGGTATAAAAGGTAGGATGTGGAGTAATCTTGTGATATTTATTTGACTCATACTGAATTGTGAAACACAATGGTAAAGGGTGTTGTGTTGGTTCCTGCCTTTGTCTGAATATATGTAGATTTGGGGATCCAATTGTGAGACCATCATGCAAAATACATATTGAGAGAAGTCAGTACAGTCACTTGGCATAGCAACAACCTTGGCAAAGTCAGTCCATTCTTCTGTAATTTAATTCTGCTTCAAAATATTTTTGATATAAGCTGATAGTGAAATTCGTTGGATTTTTTTCTTTTCCCTGTGGGAACTTTTTTTTCTTTATTAGAAAGCAGAGACTTCCTTTTGGAAGGTTTTGGTTTTTCATTGAAAATGTTTAAAAGTAATGTTTACATTCTTCTGGCTTCTAAAAACTGAAAAGTACTTTGTTATCAAGCACGAAAAGTACACCACTTTATGGTAATCCTTTTAATTTTTCCAATTTAGAATCCCTTTATTTTTTACAAAGAATACTATTTTCAATCCTTGGAAAACCTTTGAATTTGTGAGACCAGTCTTTTACTGTTTATTTGGGGGGGAAAAAAAGGAAAGTAAGGTTTTTTTTTTTTTTTTTTTTTAATTGCTGTGGCTGTGAGATCTCATACCACACAGTACACATCTGAATTCAGATGTCCTTACTTTGAAAGTAAAAATGACTGTATTTTTAGCCTAATCTATACCACGGGTTAAAAAAAGATCTAAAATCCATATTTGTGTTTTCAGTAGCGTCAGTGCTAAAGGATGTTATAGAACCACAAAACCCAGAGGAGCATCATATCAGTCTAGTAGCCTGGAGTACATTTTTTGTTGATTCTGAAATATGAAAGTATTATCTTTTATTGAAGCCTTATCTATAGTTTCCCAATGTACAGCATTATGTTAATTTAGCATGTATATGAATCTCTTTAAGTGTCCTTTTTTTTTGGACTGGGGCAAGTACCCTTCAAAGATGGATTGAGTGCCAAGTAGAGTTTATGACAGTGCTATTTAGGCGAGAACCTGGTAATTATGCTGTGCTTTTCTCTGGATCCTTTGAAAAGTTGGGTGTGCCTGCAAAAAAAAAAGGTCACCTTTCCTTTTTTTTTTTTTTTTTCTCATTTTTTTACTTCTCTTGCCTCTCTTCCTTTTTTATAAGTAACTTATGCTAGGCAGATTTATTTCCATTACACCGTGTCTACTCTACAAATGACAGGAGGAAATATGAGGAAGACCATACTTATGACTTCATTGTTAAATGCATGTTATTTCTAAGAAAACCAACAAAACTTCTAGCTAATTCATTTTTAAAACTTCGTTTATAGCTTATCTTTTTCTGTTTTGTGTCGGTAGGGTAAAGGATTTGAACATGCCTCGAAGCCCAACATCGAGTGAAGATGAAATGGCACAGAGCTTCTCAGACTATTCTGTGGAATCGGAATCAGACAGCTCCAAAGAAGAAACTATTTATGATACAATTAGAGCTACTGCAGAAAGGCCAAGCAGCAGAATGGAAGACAGTCAGAGCAATACATTAGTGATTCGAATTATAATACCTGATCTACAGCAAACGGTAAGCAATATTGCCATTAAAAAAAAAGTCTTACAAGAGCTTTTCTGTTTTAATGACCATTAAAATTTTAATTACCATAAAAAATAGTTTTAAAAGGATAAGCTTTGCTGGTTTCAGTCAGCAGCCCTGTCCTATATTCTTACTTAAAAAACTAAACTTAAAATTAATGTCCTATGTTCTTTTAGTATTTACATTTTGTACCTCAGAGGTACATCAGACTGACTCCCTAAATTATAGGCGTCATCACTTGCCAAGAGAGTGTATTTAGTATGTTAATCTGATGAAAGCTGTGTCTATAAAGCAAAGAGTCAGTCTGATCTATACTCAGAGGCATTTGACTGGATAGTAAAAGATTTTGAAAATTAAATTCTAATTCAAAGATGAGTGTTGAAAGCAAAAATCACATTTAATCTCAAATAAATTCTCATAGATGTGTAACTCCTCTATCTCCCCTACTTTACAGCATGAAGAGGAAGAAAGAAAAATGGAAATAAATTTATCCTTCCTGTTTTGCCTCTTTGCCTTTACTATACCATGCTGTTTTGCAGACTGCCACTAACTGAATTCAACACACAGTTTGGAGGAAGAAGCAAGCATGGCATTGTATTATTCCATGATTTTTACAACAAAATGAAATCATGTTATTCTTCCCTACCTCCTATTCACTTAGTTTTATATGGGAAACATTTTAAAGATGTTAAAGTGAACATTTTCTCTCTCTAGAGAAATCATTTGTAAGTTACTTTCACTTACTTTTATATGGGAAACATTTTAGAGATGTTAAAGTGAACATTTTCTCTCTTTCCTCTAGAGAAATCATTTGTAAGTTACTTGCAGACCAGGGGCTATATTTCCCATCCCTGAGTGGAAATTCAGTGTTCCTTTTGTAGCAGAAATCTACAGTCCAGAACCATCACTGTCTCTAGAAAGAAGCTATTAGTATGCATTTCTTTTGTGGGTGAATGGCTAAAATTCACTATCCGAAGAGTAAGGAGAGCAGAGTTGAAAAAGTTTGTTTTGTATTTTTTTTTTTGTGAAAGAATCATTGTCCCCTACAAACCTTGCAGTAGGAATATCATTGCCATCCTGTAAAAGGTCTTGGGAATTATTTACTGATGTTATCTAGAACTCAGATTAGCCAAGTTTATGATTAATTATCTGAATTAGGCTGGACTTCTTGAATGCTGCTGTCTGGACTTGCAGTTGATGGTAGTCATCAGACTTTTCTGATTTGAATGATGATTATAAAACCCCATTCTGTGTATAGATGTGTGCTGCATCCCTTTGCGCTGCCATTTCACATCTACATCATACCATGCTGCCATTGAATGTCTATTTCAGCTGAAACTCTTCCTTTCTTTTTAATTAAGTTCATTTCTAGAGGGATAGAGATGGCCTGTCTAAAGGCTGACAGGAAGGAGCTGTTCTGACAGTGTGCCCTCAGATGTGGTTGTACAGCTTTTTTTTCTTTTTTTTCTTTTTTTTTTTTCCTTTTTTTTTCTTTTTTTTTTCTTTTTAAAGCTGAATTTGTATGGTATTGCAGAAATTCAGATATACGTGATGGAGCTGCGACAGCATAAGTATTATATGCCTTGTCAAGCTGATATGGAGACTAATTTTTGAGTTTATCTGTTTTTCTTTGTTGTTTTTTGTTTTGTTTTGTCTTTTGGCTCCTTTTTAGTTGACATGATAGTCCAGCATACCAAAACACTATGTGTTTTAGTGTGGAAAGAGTCATTACCTAGTGCCTTTATTTACCATTTGCATTCAACTAGGTGTCATCCTTAGCACAGGAGAATATTTGAAGAAGCACTTACAATATTTGTACTGTACCTGGTACAGAGGCCTTGGACTTGGCAATGGCCCTTACTACTGTTAGTACTAACAGTACTACTGTTAGTAGTAAGGGCCATTCAGTAGTACTGAATCACAGTATCAAGTTTATCCTCTCTTTTGGCAAAGATACCTTTTGTCCTTCATATTTGCAAGTGGCAGGTGTCCCGCTTGAATCCTCTAGTGAGATGTATGACTTTACATCTTGTGTTTGAAGTGGTGTCTAAAAGGCAGTATCTCAAAAGATCCCCCAATCCTGCAACAGTAACACGGACTTGGTGGCTGGTGGAGCCAGGCTGGTGTGATAGGACTGTGCACCAAGGTGGTTCAAGGTTTCTCGGCAGGATAGGCAAAATACAATTGTGAATTTTGAAGGAGGACCAGCGAAGATCAATATTATCGTGTCAGCAGGGCCCCACTGCTGCCTAAGCAAATTTGACAGCCAACAGTCCCCAGCTGCACAAGGCAACTGCCTATCTTGTGCCAAAAAAACACTGCGTTTGTATGGGATGTCAAGTGTCTTCTGGGCACGGAGGGCCAGAGGAGCTCACTTTTCATCGTGGTCCTCTAGAAGGCCCACAGCATGTGCTGGATATCTCATGGGACATGTCTGGACTGAGTCCGGGATATATTTTTTCTTAGTTGTAACCTGGTCCTTTCTCTGTTCATGTAGTAACGTATTCTGAGTCTTTAACTGCTAGTAGTGTGATTCTTCTCCAGCAGCCCATATTAGGAAAATCTCCTTTTCAGGATGTTCTTACAATGAAATATTTTCTGTGTTCAAAATGAATACCGTGTCTTTTTCTTTTCCTTCATTGATGGCACCCACCCCTCATCTGCATTTTCCACTTATTCTTTGTCACATTTTTGATCCTGATGTCTTCCATCAAAAGAGATCGCTTGTATTTTGGTGTTCCGATGATCACATTTTAGAGGCATCTGTATAAGCCTTTTGTCAATGATTCCTCTGTCACAGCGCAGTTCTGTGTGATTGACATCTTGCTGAGCCTGTCGAAAAAGATGTGTTGGTTGATAGGTTTTGAATGCATAAATATTATTTGTCAGAGATTCTATGTCATTAATATTATTCCCATTGGATTAATATCTTCCCTTTAGCTGGAGTGGGTGAGTTGTGTTTTTCCTTCACTTATAGTGTTATTGTTAGCAACTTACTCTCACAAGTGCCTAGGAATGCAAGATTGTCATTGACTGTTTTCTTATGATCCGTACTGAAAACCCAGTTCTCACTTTTCAGCATGCAATGTTGATTGCTGTTTTGCTGCTAGACTTGATCTCTTTTTGTGGCTGAGCCACACTGTGGTTTTGACAGTAGTGTTTGAGCCATTTAGGATTCCCTTTCCCTGATTCTTATTTGAATAGGTTTGTTTCATTATCTTCAGAGTGTAGGTAGCTGACCTTAATAGCAAGCGATCCTTTTTTTGTCTGTGTTTGGTAGAATAAAAGGTGAAATAGATATCACACCTATAATTTTCAAATATATTTTAATTCATGTTTCCTGTGTATTTATTTAGTTCTTCACCAGAAAATGAGATCTATTTTCTGGTTTTATTAATGACTCATTGAAGGTATCCTGCTTCAAAAAGTTGTCTAGCTTTGCGTGACTCAGATCTTGCCTTATTTTCTTGTGGTCACCACAGTTACGGAGATGTTGCACTTAAGAGGAGAGTCTCTTCCCTTGCCTCAACTTGTGCTGCTTGGTTGAGCAAATAAATGAACCTGAGGAAGGGATGAGGTGCTCAAGAATGCAAATATTGCCCCCTCACAGATGGGCTACCAAGAGGTTTTACTGAAGAATGACCTTGACTTGATTCAGGATACGTGTCAAGCTTGACTTTTTTCATGAGATTAAACTTTGGTCCGAGGCTTTTTGCCTTTTGTTCCCTTTATACAAGCTGGCACATGGAAAAAGTAACCCAGTTCCAGAGGAGCAGATGTGTTGTTGCTGTGCGCACTTGTCCCTGGTCCTCAGGAGGCTTGCTCTGGTTTGGGTTGTGTGAGCCTTTATGTCCTGCTGCAGAGAAGTCTGGAGCCTCCTCTGGGGTTGTAAGTATAGAAGCAAGGGCAGAATTTTGTCATTCTGCAGTGTGTAGTATAGTTGTGTTCTGATGTGCAAGGCAGTGCCCCTCAATTACAACTACAGAAAAAGCTGCCAGAAGAATGTGGAATTGGAAAGTAGTCATTAGATATGAACCTGGTGCTGGAAAGGCCAGCCAAGGTTGGGCAGCAAAAAAGAGAGCATCGGGTAAGACGGTTTGTAGCAAAATAAACCAAATGCTACTGTGATTTATTTTGGAGGGATGCTTGTGGAGGAGAGTAGTAAGTGCAGATTAGAAAATGGCCTGGCATTTGAAAACAAATAAAAGCATTTACTGTAAAGAAAAAGCAGTTTGAATCTATTTTAATAAAAAGCTGCTTTATATTCCTCATTTTGGAATGAGGAGAATTCCTCATTCCTCATTTGGAATGGGGAGAATATGGCAGAATTTAGGAAGTGCCTTTACATGGGAAACTTTGTAAAAGAAAAATCAGTTTGACATTTTTTTAGGTAAAGGAACATAAAGTACATATTATTATAACTTTTCTGACTTCAAGTTGAGAACATAGCATGTCACATCATAAAAGCTGGTACTGCAAACATTCACAAGTTATTCACTGAGAAATCACAAGGGAAAAAGATATGCGAGTCCTTATATCTCATCATACAGAATAATGGTTTAAGGAATTTTATGACTTAAATTGGGATTTCTTTTTGCGTCGCTGTGCCTAAATACTAGGAACCTTGATTATGAAGAAACAACAAACAAAATAATATTTTCATATATGATAGAAGTTGGTTATGCCCAGTGTAACTGCTTTTATTTTGCTGAATTAAACCACGTGATGAGGAAGGGGAACTGTAGCAAAATAGGAAGCAGGGTGTTTTGGGGAACCTGTGGCCATGGTCTCTGCTTTTATTCCCTGGTATCTCCAGGCGCTGTTGCCTTGGCCTTTGCTCTCCCTCTTCCCTTGCACATCCCTAAATACCTTAACATCAGTACTTGAACTGTGTCTGGCAGACTGCAGGGACCTGTGAAAGACAAAAACTGAGTTGCATTTTTAATAATTCATGCTCCAGACCTAGCAGAGCTGGACAGGATCCAATATTCATGAGCCTACCATACTTACTCAGTAAAAACCTACATGAGATGATATCATGGCAGCTTTGTTGGTACAGTTTCCCAGTAGGCAGCAGCAATGAATAGGATATATCTCATTATCAGGTCTACTGATAATACTCCTATCTGAGGGTTAATTCACAGAAACACAGCCAGACTCTTCAGCTTGAATGTGCTATGTTGCCCAAAATTGGCTGGTTGATTGTGTTCCGAGGAAGCGAGTATATACACAGGACTGATTGACCACAGTGTTCCGTCAGTCAAATTGCAACTGCTTTTAAAAGTCCTTCACGTCCTTTAGAATCTGGTTGTAGAAATAGCTTTTCACTGTTGATGATATGTCGTCATGTCATCAACACTGCGCTGGCATGAATTTTCTAGGCTTTCAAGTCCTCTACTCCTTCATATCAAATAGTTCCTTTCTTAGAATTATCCTATCTCTTAGGACAGCTTTGATTGAGTTAAAGCTGTTCCCTAAATACCTGTTTTGTGGAGATGTTGCAGGTCACACTGATCATCAGAACAGCCTCAAATCAAATGTCTACATAAACATCTTGTAACCTCCCTTTGACTTGACCTTTATAAGAGGGTTTAGCATAAAGTCTCCTATCTGAGCAAGGATGCTCCGTGACCCCTGCGGAAGGCCTGGAAATGTCCTCTGTTCCCATAGCACTTGTGCACTAGCTATTATAGAGGAATAAGTGTCTGAAATGTAGATTTGTAGATGCATGCTTGTCTTGTAATATGTAGATTTATTATAGGCATACTAATTTTGTAAATTTTACAATGTAAGATACTGTTTAAATGTTTTTCATTGTTTTGTATGTGTTTTTTATCATTTCTCTTTGCAGAAATGCATTAGATTTAATCCTGAAGCTTCAGTATGGGTTGCAAAGCAACGAATTCTGTGCACTTTGAATCAGAGTTTGAAAGATGTCTTAAATTATGGACTGTTCCAGCCTGCAAGCAATGGTAGAGATGGAAAATTTTTGGATGAGGAACGGCTTCTTAGGGAATACCCACAGCCAGTGAATAAGGGAGTTCCTTCCTTAGAGGTATTTTTAGCTGTAGTATCTGAAACATCTATATTCTCTTGGTGCAAGCTATATTGTAAGCTGTATTTGAGTTTCTTGCATGTCCATTGGGAAGCAGTGATCCTACAGCAGATGAGATCAGGCTTTGAACTTGAAGCCTTGCTCACAGCTGGTGTTTGCTTGGTGGTGTTATTCCGTGTGTTATACCTGTAAAGGCTGTGGCGAATTGGACCATCCAGGAAATGGTGGTTTAGAGTTTTCCTCTGCTCAAGGGTATGGGAGAGGTATCTCAGGAGAACATTCAGTGTTTTAATACAGAATGGTTCTAAAACGAGCTTTTGAGGCCCTGACTTACTTTACAAGAGCAGGGGTAGAAATTGCTACCTTTACTTCCATCCGAAAAAATGATCTTTCTGTCTTAGCTAAACCCCACCCTTCCATGTGTGGCTGTCTCTTGGGAAAAGAATAAGGAAAGAGAGAGTGTGTGTATGTGTGAAATATTAAAAAATACTGATTAATTTTTAATTGCTTTTACGGTGGTGCATCACCCAGGAGTAACCTGCAGTTAATAGACTTACCCCAGTGTAACATAGATCAAAGCAAGAAAAAACAGGGTCAAGAGAAAGTTTTGAGACCTAGCATTTCCAATGGATTATTTCTGAGGGTCACTGATGTCCATATTAGAGCCACAAACAAATTAAATAACTATTTTTTGTGTCATGTTTGTTACAGAACTGTGTTTCCCTGGTGCTTGCTGTTGGCTAGCAAAATACATTACTGCAAAAGGATGGCAGTTCAAGGGTTAAAAGTGTTCTGCTGAAAAGCTGATACTAAAGCCTCATGCAATGCCGTCTCCTTATCCATCCAATGTGTTGCATTCTTTGAATTCTACCTAGTAAACAGAGGTTTATTTTAGGCTTTGTTCATAACCTCTAATTACTAGCTGAGAGAAAACTTGAGCGTGCTCATGGCTACAGTGTGTTCTTAGTGAAACAGAAGTATTGTACAAGCAAATACTTTAAAACAGGGGTAGAATAAATGCAGAATTTTAAGATTTTTTCGTTTTCTCATGTCGTTAAAAAAATTATGGGCCTCCCCTGCCCCTGCCTGCTGCTCCCAGCAGATCTGGCAGAGTTACTGCTGCATCAAAGCTGGGCAGTTGAGGAGGAGCTCTTTGCTTTCCAACCGGCTGCAAATGGGAATGTGTTGGATAACTGAATTGTAACCCTGTAAAGCCCATGATTTTTCCGTGGATCTTTCTGTTCTAGCAGTAGGGTAGCAAATTGCTCCGCATAAAATTTTGCATGAGTTTCAGCCAAAGAATGGGTAGCCCTTGAATCGTCAGACACAGGCCTGATTTTGTTAAATATTAGAGGAGGGCTACATCCACCTGTAAATTCTGCTTATGTGGGTTAAGAGATTTTTCAGGAATGTTTCCCTCCTCACCCTCTGTTGAATTTCAGACATGCTAAGCTGATATTTTGAAATACTTGGAGTTTTTTTTTTTTTTAATTTAACATGTCTTCCAGTTCTTTCTGTTTGAGACTAGAAATGAAAGTGCAGGCATACCCTTAGGGAAAAGCTCTTTTCACAGTAATTCTTGCTTATTTGGGTAGATGCTAGAGGCTGAACTCATTTCCCCTACAACTTCACTGAGCTCAGTACACTTAAACAAGATAGGAATTTTGCTTACATGAGCTGTAAAACTTTAATGGTGCTATGTTAAGCATAATGCAGAATATCAGTATGCATTCCAAATGAAATGTGGAGCTTTTTTTTTTTTTTCTGAGGGTTGCCAAAATCTACAGCATCATTAATGATTGATGCGTTCTGGTAGGGTTTGGGACTTTTTAAAAAGTTATTTTTAAAATAAAATAAGACATATTGTTTTTTTCTTCTTGTTTCTTCTTCAGTTTCGGTACAAGAAGAGAGTGTACAAACAGTTCAATCTTGATGAGAAACAGCTGGCTAAGCTTCATACAAAGGTATGCACAGTTTTTGGGGAAGTTGGCCATTTTTTGCTTTGTGAAGTGGGAAATGGGCAGTGAGGAGGAGTTCACCATCTACCACATGGGCTGGTTGCTAAAGGACAAGCAGCATGTGCTCCCAGGGCCAACAGGGATATGTGAATTACTGTCCTAGAAAAGTATCCCTATTTGACTCTTCCATATGTATACAAGCATTTTTAAATGAGCGTTGTTACATAAGCATAATATGTTTTCACCATGCTGCAAAAATGCTCAGCTCTCATTAGACACGTTTGCAGGTAAGAATAGTAATGATTACCTTACACGATCCTGATTTCATACTGACTGAATACTTCAATCTTTTTTCCTTGAAGCTGGAAACAACAGAATCTTCTTCCCGTGCTTGCTTTTTGAATGTTACAAACTCTAGGGTTTGTGTTCTCCTTGGAAAGTCAGACTCTCCAGGAATGTAAATTAGCACTGTTAAGTGATGCCAATAGATACATACTGACAGAAGATTTCATGTTTAGTCGAAAATGTCTTTTTACAGTCAGAGGGTAATTCATTTGTCATTCGTTGTTTCAGGCTAATTTGAGAAAATTTATGGATCATGTCCATCATCTCTCAGTGGACAAAATCACAAAGATGTTAGACCGAGGACTGGACCCCAACTATCATGACCTAGAAAGTGGAGGTCAGAACAATAAAACTTGCAGAATAGTAGTATCCTGGTTTTCTTCAACATAAAATGATCTAAGAGGTTAAATTTTACCTATTCTTTCTGCTGCCTTTGTAATGTCAGGGTAGTGGAATCTGCATGGCTTTCGAAGGGATTGTTCTTCAAGGGGATAAATTTATAACTTATGATTTTCTTCAAGCAGTATTTTAATGTAACACTTTTTTAAAGCTTGTAAAACAATGCTCTTTATTTTATAAATTTACTTGTCTCTTCTGTGTACGTGCTTTTCTTTTCTTTAGAAACTCCGCTAACTTTGGCAGTTCAGCTTGACAATACCGTGGAAGTGATAAAAGCTCTGAAAAATGGAGGAGCACATTTAGACTTCAGAGCCAAAGATGGAATGACAGCTCTGCATAAAGCAGCTAGAGCCAAGAACCAAGTAACCCTCAAGGTAAATGCTTTCAGTTGCAGATTATATGTTATTTTATGCAGAAAAATATGTAGAGAAGAATGCCTTCATTCAATTGTCACATTGTCCCCACTGGATCCTCTAATATATATCTGTTCTCATATTTTTTCCGCGTCTTTTGACTCATAGAATTTGCTTTAGACAAAAGGCCTTTTTCTGAAGCTGACTTTTTTGGTAGGAAGAAAAACTGGTGAAACTTAACCTTATTCATTGATAGACTGGGGAAGATCTTTCTGAGGAAGTAGGAATAGCATTATTGTTGTTTATCCGTCTTTCAAAACAAATGCCAATAGCATGGATTATGCATCATATCTTAACGTGGTCTTTATTCTCTAACTGGTGCTTCTAAATCATCTTGATATTTGAGATTAAATCCTGTGTTTATGGCATTTGCATATTTTCTTCTGACAGGTAACCAAATTGCATGACATCTTTGATAAAGCATCCCTTAACTGAAAAGGCGGCAGTCGGACATTGTCATTCATCCTTTCCTTGCTAACCCTGTAGATTCCTTTAAATGCTAATTTTTCTGAGGTCATTTCTTGCTTAACTTCATCTGTGCCACAGCCTATTCTATCAGCCTGTAAGGAAGCAATAAATATAATAGTGGGAAATACCAACCTAGTAAGTATGTTTTCAGTTAGAGAAGTTTCTTTTCAGTTAGGAATTCTTCCAAAATATATATGTATTTTTCATGTTCTAATTCCTTTCAGACCCTTTTAGAGCTTGGAGCATCTCCTAACTATAAAGACAGCTGTGGCCTGACCCCACTGTACCACACTGCGGTCGTGGGAGGGGATCCTTACTGCTGTGAGCTCTTACTTCATGAACACGCTACAGTCAGCTGCAAAGATGAAAATGGATGGCAGGAAATCCATCAGGTGAGAAAGACAACATTGTGTCAGTTACAGCTGTATCAGAAAATTTAATTTACCTATGCTTTATTGGTACAGAAAATATACTTTGTATGTTCCATTGTTAAACACTATTTTAAAGACCATGCCTTGAATATGTTTAGTCCATGCACGTACATGCAGGAAGGTACTTCCTTTTTCTGTTAGCTTATTACTTTGTGTCCTGCTGTGGTAAATTAAAACTCAAAGCTGTTCCTGTGGCGATTTCTAACAGTGAAATCCTATGGTTACTATGGATTTTGCTGCAGAATTTGTAGCTCTAAACAGATTTATGCAACAGACTCTTGGAAATCTGAAGTTCAGCATTCTCTTAGTGGCACTCTGTTGGAGAAATGCAACTTAGTCTTTTTGTTAGATGCCACTTTTAGTCTCCCTGGTAATGCTTCTTGTGTCTGTGTCAGATGTGCTTTGTCCTTTGTGTCTGGTGAACTTTATAGGGAAGATTTGGATTCAGGATCCTGCTGCTAGGATTCTTCAGTGTGTTCTACTGAGGGATGTTGAACAAATTCCCAGTTTGAGATCAGTTTGCATTGCCTGTGTGCGTGGAAACTCAGATTCTAATGGTTTTTATTTTGTTCTTTGTGCTTGGGTCTTCCTGGCCTCTCTGACAAATTTGGGAGTGAATAAGCACGGCAGCGTGTTCTCTGCAGGGAAAAAATGACTTAGAGTTTGTGTTAACTGGGATATCCTGAGTCAGCTGTGGTGCCAAAACTCAGCAAGGACTGGCATCCTGGTCAGTTCCTCCATAAGTGTCAGGAAGATAAACCTCCTCCCGTGCCAAGGACCTTAGTCCTGTTTCTAAGAGATAGACCAGATAGGTATTCGGTAAGAAGCTTGCTAAGCAAAACTTCTCTCTGAAATGTTTTATATGGTGTTTTGTATATCACTTTATTCAAGTGTCTATGCATGGTGATAAATTCAGTAACTTATAAAGTCTGATTTTTTAGCAGTCCTAGTGTCATTACAATGATTTTTCTCAGTATAGGGAAATTACTGAGATTTCATTAAAAATGAACTGATACTAATAAGAGAAATTATTCTTACAAGGCTGCTCAGCTTACCTGACAAAAACCTAGGTTCACAAGCATATACACTTGTATTAATACATAACTTCTTCTTTTATTTTCTTTGAAGAAAAGGTTTTAATACTGAAGTTTGGGTATGGACTTTTCTTTGAAGAAAAGGTGAATGGTTTTAATACTGAAGTTTGGGTATGGATCTGAGTTTTTTAAATGTGTACGGGTGTTCAGATCTGAGTTGTTTGGATGCATCTCTGATAGGAAATGAAAAGAATTAATTGTACTGCCATCATTTCTTTTGATCCAATCAGAAATAGAAGTAACTGCAGTATTGATCAAATCATTACGTGGAGTCCCTGAAAATACAGAGGAAAAACTCCTTCTTTTGAAAACTAAACCTAATGTGCTTATGCTGATTACTTCCCATAATGAAAATGACCTTTCCAAAAACCTTTCTACTGGTTATAATCCTAACTAAATCACCAAAGTTTACATGAGGATTATGGGCAGTCTGTTCTCAACAGTCGAGGGTATGAGCATTCCTCAGTGAAGTGTGAAAGATGGGAATGTGCTACAGTCCCATCTGGCATTGTTTGTGTGAAGAAGGTAAAGTTATTTCATGTGGCAAGGACACAGTTGTAAGTGTGCTT